ATACCGAAGAACGGCCTCATTCGATCACTGAGATCTTCTGACAAACAAGTCTCCTCCCCGGAGAAAGAATATCTCCGATATGAATCTCGCGTGGTACAAGACCCTGCGACATCCCTTGGACATTACACTATGTCCATCTTCAAACAACATGGTGGTGGTAAACCGGGTAAGGGGGAAGAATGGATATATTCTCTCCTCTCCTTGCAAGGCTAAGTTATAATAAATAAGAATCATATATGTGTCCGCCCGATTTTATCCCCAGAAACAATATGCTGCACCACCCCAACTCCTCTGAATGAAATCCCGATAGACCAGGGCCCGCTGATGGCTACCTCCCTGCCAAGGCTCCCTCTCCCTCGCATCCTATCCCATCAATTTCTGCTCTAAGCCGGCGGGTAATAGCCCACGGTGCCCAGGTGCCTTTGTGTGGTCTCCTTGTGCTGCATAGTCTGGATCGACAGAGATGGCTTATGCGTGATCAGCGCACCTTCACACCCCACGAATCCAAAACATTCGAGGGTAGGGGCGGATGACTGAGGCTGGAATACGCCGCCTGACGCATAGGTGTAGGGGAGGTAAGCTGCGCTGTGGAGAGATCCGAACGGCGAAGACGACATGGAACGCATCAAACTAGAGAAACCCCAGAGTAGATGACCCAACGTGAAAATCATTAACAAGACGCTCCACCCATGAATCAAATTCCCGCTGTCCAGATAGTACAAAGTATAGAGTTCATCCCACATTCCACATTCCACATGCCTCGTTCAAACCATAGCAACGGCGACACTTTTCCATAGCCCCGCAACCTCGTAGATGTCTCCCGGTATTGTCCCGTGGGGCAGAGTAGACCGACGGAAGGGAGACGGGGTATCTCGTTCCAAGTAGCTGATCAGTGACCCCTGCGAGGACTAGCGGTCGGTATCCATCGCGTCCGTATCCTTGGTCTCAGTCATCCGCAGTTTCGTGTCTTGCAGAGTCTCGGGCACGGTGCTCATCGTCGCGTCCCCTCCACTCTTGACGTCCTCACTCCCACGACGCACGGCGACATCCGCGCTCCCCCTCCGTGCTAACCCTACATCTGAATAGTTAAGGAGGGTTGGCGTATTCGCTTGGCTTCCACCACGTTGGCCATGGTAGTGGACCACTTGCGGGGGCGTCTGGCCGGCGCCTAGCGCTCCAGTGGGATAGGGATCGAAGTCGCGGCTCGAGGTCGAGAAGGTCGATACTACCGGCTGGTGATACCCGTTCGATGCGTTGCTGGCGGTGGGCGTATGGCCGTAGTGGCCGCTGTGCTCAGCCTGGGTTGGAGTGCTCACGTCGTTTGGCGAGGTTGAGCCTTCCCCTAGAACACTCGAAAGGCTGTTCATCCCCCCCTCGATGTCCCTAAGAAGGCGCACGTACGCCTCGGGCACTAGTCCGCTCTCCTGCGTCTTGGGATCCTGAGCTACCAACCAGCCCTCTCCGTGGCGATATGATATTAAGATGATCTGGCCCTCCACTAGAGGGAGTTCATTCTCGCTCTCTCGTTCAAAGTCGTAGAGCGCAACGGCCTTGCCGTGCATCTCCTCGTCGGGGGACGTGATGGTGAACTGATAATCCCGTGAATAGCGAGATTGATCTTCGTTGGCGTGGCCGGGCGAGGAGCAGCTGGATGCATCGGAGCCGTAGCCATCCTGGTCGAACTGGCGGGGCTGCTCGTCGAGTGGATACGAGGCGGAATGCGTCGCTTGGTCGGTAGGGTAGGTCACGTATTGGCCACCGGGTCCATTTGCCTCGGCGTCCTGGGCAACGTAGTAGCCTTGACCACCATTCCCGCCCGCGCTTACGTAGAAGCCCCTCTCTGTATCGTAGTTTTCCGGGTTTAGCGCATTCGATTCGTCGCGGTGGTGGTGGTGGTGGTGGTGGTGATGGTGATGCCTACCGAATGATCCCGATGATTTGTGCTTGCGGTGCCGAGAGCTCACGACCGGGCTCTGGAGGTCCTCGTCCTCGCTCCATGGCGGACCATCGCCGAGGTGGATGGGAGCGATGCCGCTGGCGTTTCTGGACGACTCGTAACTCCAGCCGCCGGCGTCCCAGCCCGACTTGCCCTCCCACGACAGGGCAGAGGGGTCGGAGAGCCGCCTGTGTTCGCTTGCAGGGGTAGTCAGGCCAGAGGGTGGCCTGGACGGCTCAGGAGGCGTGCCATAGTGCAGCTGGTGAGTGGCGGGGTATGCAAAGTCGCGCACAAGTGTATAAGGCAGGCTAGAGGGGTAGACTGGGAATATGTGGGAAGGAGGGCGAGACCGAGACGGCGCAGAGCCGGTCGAATACTGAGAGAGCCTGTGCTTGGATAGGTGAGACACTGGCCTCGGAAGTGTGGACCGGCGGTTCGGCGGAGAGGTTATCAGAGGAGGTAACGCCGTGTGGCTCGCGGAAGAAGCTGGCGAGGGAATTGGCGGGGGTGATGTGGTGGTGGGTGATGTAGCAGACATGACTGCGGTCATGCTCCGAGCCGGAAAAGAACCGTGATGTCGGGTTATTTTGGTTGCGCCGCGAGAAATCAGGCGAAAGAACGGACGGCCGCAGATCTCCCCACCCAGGGTATTAACGACCGTTCCGTTTTAGCTTGGGCTCCGAAGAAGCTACTCGCAGCAGGCTTTCAGCGCTGGAAGGCGGGCGGCGAGTAGTGTAGTGGGGAGATCGGGCAAAAAAAGCGGGGTGCGAAACTGAGCGAACTGCGACGGCGCAAAGCGAAGTGATAAATGCGCCTTGGCGACGACCTGGTGCAATCAACTTCTGTCAACTCGATGACCCGCGCGCTCTACTACAACTCCGTTGTCCTTTCCCCACCTTCTTCAGGTGTATCAGTTCGTCGTCCTGGGCGGGACCGGTGTTGGGGACAAGGCGGGAGAGCGCGATCGGCGAGAGGCGAGAAAAGGGATGCAGGGAGCCGCAGATTGTCAGTGCCAGAAAAAGGTGTAGCAGCAATTCGTGTCGTTCAGTCGTAAGGGAGGCGTCCAAGCGGATCCAGTGTCGACAAGACAAAACCCCGCAAGCGCCGAGTCGTCAAAGGCTGAAGGATTAATGGCGGGCGCAAAGGTGCGATGCCACGAGCGTCCAGAGCAGAAGCGAAAGCTGACCGACCGAGTACTTGTGCTGCGAAACGTGGCAAGAGAGGGCAGGGATGCCGTAGTGGGACACACAATGACTTTGTTCTCCCGTCGGTGGAGTGCGGGCTCGACTGGGTCGCTCCAGCGAGAGTCGAGAGTCGCAAGAGAAGCGACGGTAAAATGGCGGCGAGGGGGTTGATGAGAGTGTGGAGGGGGGGTATGGATGGTTTCCAAGAAGAAGCGGAGAAACTGGGAGTAAATTCGCAGGATTCTGGAAGGGCTTGGTGACTTGGGGTTTGGGGGGGGGGGGGGAGCACGGCGGGTCGTGTGGGCAGGGGCGCGAAACGACCAGTAAATGATGGAGGAGCTGGGGTAGTTACAGGCGGGGCGGGGCTGATCTGCCACGCAGCTTGGGGGGGTTACTTTGCATATATTTCAGGCTTGCGAGTGACTTTCATGAGATATCAGCGCGATTCGATGCTCGAAAGTTAAATCGCGTGCAAACCACCTAGCACCTAGAGTGGCCGCGGAAAGCAAGCGGTAGTATGTTCCGATAAGAGAAGAGGCCGAGACCAGATTCTGATAAACGAAAAGGTGGGCGAGGCAGAGCCAAGCAAGCAAAGGATGAGACCAGGCAAACTGAAGAGCCGCGGCGTGACTTTTTGAGCTGGGGGGCGGGGGCCTGGCCCGGGGGGAGGGAAGACGGGACGAGAACCAAGACCGCCCCAATTGCAGCAACATGAAACAAGCCAACGCCGCTACCACCACCCACCCACCCAACCTTTTTTTTTTTGCACAAACCAATGTGGTCCCCGCTAGCCGCCGTCTCCTCCAAGGGTCGACGCCCAACCGCGTTGCCCCGCCACTTACCAATTGCGAACCGGACAACCCCTCCCGCTGCTCTCTGTGTGTTGCGTGCACCACCTCTGCACGTAAGCCGTACCTAACGACCAGGAGGCGCCCGCATTCTTGCAGCCTGGTAAAGTCCCGTCTGTCCAATATTTTCACCTCTCGGCTTTGGCGCGGTTGCCTGGCGGATGGCGCCAGGCAGAGGCCCTGGGTTATTACTCGCATTAATGGTCCCTGCCTGCGGCCCTGCCTCCACGTCAGACTGACCTACTATTACGATTACGAGTACAAGTACAAGCCCACTCGTAATCGTCCAGGCATCGTGCAGGGCCCAGTCCCGTCAGCCCCCGCTACCAAGAGGAAATTACGAGCTCCATTATTTGCCGTATGTAGCTCATTCGCTCCGCTATGGGCCATCCTAGCGCGGCGCTTCCCCCCACGCACGGGCGTAAAAGTGACTGCCAGACCGGAGCTACTCGAACATTCCAGTCCAAATGCCGAAGACAATCGATTGGATTTCAAAGGGTCGCGCCGGAGCGCTGTGCTATCCCGGAAGCACACAACGCCCGAACCCTGTTGAGCCACAGTCGATTCGAGAAAGCTGGGCCGCTCCGGGTTGGTCCCGGTTGCACCCATTGTTTCCAATTATAGAACTGCGGGCCAGGGTGCCACGACAGGAAACTGGCCAATCACCGCCAGGCGTGGGTGATCCCTGATTGGGGGTCGGAAGAGTTACCTGCCTGGTAACTAAGACTTTACCAAACAGTGGTCGGAAAATGGGTCTTGATGTTGGACGCCACCACCAAAAAGTTCAATTTCAATTTCTTGATGACATCGGGGAGAGCACATGGCCCGCACACAGATGGAAGATCGTCGGTGCAGATATCAAATCCTGGAGGGGAGGCCAAAAAGACCCAATGGAACCCATCTAGGGAAGCAGACGAAGGTCTGAGCAGAGCAAGTGCGTAAAACAAGTAGTACGTATGTACTCCGTGCTCGTACTAAAGTACCCTTCTACTCCTTTGAGAGACAACCTAACCAGAGCAAAAAGCAAAAAATTGGACATTGCGCGAATCGAACGCGCGACCTTCAGTAGGCATAGGCAAGATTTAGTGTTCAATGCAAAACTGACGTCATACCCCTAGACCAAACGCCCGATGGGGGTGAGCGTAGCTTGTGGCGCTTATGGTGGGGGGAATTCGCACCATCGGAATCTCTGCGCAGCTTGTCTTACCTGCCGATGATGTCTCACTCGCTTCCCGCCGGACGTGGCCAAATCTTAAAAGAATGGGCCATAATACCCGCGCGCAGTATCAAAATGAGACAAAGATCCAGGCAGCGGCGGGGGGTTCTCCCAATGGCATAACATAATTCATCGTCAACATAACTACATAATGTCTTCCCAAGCTCGGTTCATGAGAGGTCCCCTAAATTGGTTTCCCTCTTCCCTCTTCTACCTAGGGTATCCTAAGACCCTCCCCTTCCTTCGCCTCTACAACCCCCTCTCGTCCCCCTATCCTAAAGCCTACACGGAGCGCCTTCACCCTTCCTGGCGCAGGGTCCCAGAACCCGGGTAGGTGACTTGTTCTCAGCCCCGCGGGGATGTCGACTTTCCCGTCGCGGACTAGGGCCGAGAGCGCAATCGTCACATCTGCGACGTGTTCGCCTGCCCATTCGTCTTCCGCCGCGCCGTATTTTGCGCTGACGATGATAAGGTTCTCACCCTTTGCGCTGTCTGGCCTCCGCGACAGGGAGCGGTGCAGGAGGAAGGCTAGGGCGTCTGCCTCGCTCCTCTTGTCTCCCTTCCTCCCCTTCCCCTTCCCCTTCCCCTTCCCCTTGTTTGCAGCTGCCCTCTTCTTGGATCTGAAGAAGTGGAATCCTGCCGATGCGAGTAACGGGACCACGGCCGCGAGGAACAAACTACGTGGCGCGGGGAGCATGTAGATTGGCAGGGAGAACCGTTGGTTGAGGTACGAGACTGAGAGCGAGAAGTGGAAGGTTCGAGGGGAGAGCGAGAGCTCAAGACCTAGGAAGGATGAGCCGATGGGGAAGACGTTGCGGATGGCGACGTGGTGGTCCGCGTGGTTACTCGCGCAGAACTCGACCTCGAGTCTAGTGGGCGACGCCGCGGGGATGGAAGTGGCGTAGCGGAGGGAGCTGACGAGGTAGTCCATCGTACCCCCCAGAGATGCGGTCCACGAGGACGGTGTGGTACTTGAAACTTGCTTCTCCTCCTTCAAAAGGCTCATGGCCCTTTGGTGCGGCACTAGAGCCTCGCATGATGTACCCTTCGTGTACCCGACTTCAAAGGAGGCTGCTCGCGGACCGAGCATGCTGGAAACCCTCCCGTTAAGTCGCGAGAACTCGGTGAAGAAGCGGCAGGTCTCGTCCGCACGCACCCTCCAGTTTCCGCTATCCAGCCGCGCAAAGGCCACGCCATCCCCCCAGACCCTGCTTCCTGCGATGGAGACCTGCGGACGGCCGGGGGAGAGACGACTGGCGGTGAGACCAGCTCCTAGACTCGTTGCAGAGCCGCGGATGACAGCGGAGTGAGAGACGCGGGTCGTGAGCGACGGGGTCGGGAGGAGGTCAGATTCTACCTCTATCCCCGAAGCGCCCCGGAGCTCTCCGGACGACGAATCCCTCGCGAGGAGATCCTGGTGGAGATTTAACGTTGCGAGGGGGTAGAGGTTCCCGAGAAGGTGTACCTTTTGCCGCGGGACGATGTGTAGCAATGGATGATATCGCTCCGAGAGGGCAGTGGACGGCAGTGCTTCCGTGAGGCCGTATGCGTACCCAGATATGGTGACTATCGGGTCAGAAAGGGTGAAAGTCGCGCCTCCTTTTAGGCCAGTCATCTCCGAAATGACTCCACGATCCCGGCTCGTACGAGCCAGCAGTGCCTTCACCCGCTTAAACTTCTCCTCAACGGCCCTCCCCAGCCCTGGCACCCCAGCTGAAACCGAATGACCAAGCATGAAATCCACCGGCCGAAGTCCTCTCCCCCGCCCCGAAGCATCAGCCCTGACCCCCATATCCGAACTCACTTCCACTTGGCTCCTGCGCGGAGGAGCGCGCCCTTGCGAAGAATCATACTCCCATCTCTTCTCCTGGTCAACAAGCGTCTCGAACGCATCTTGCACCCTCGCGAAGTAGATCCGCGCCACATCCTCCTCGCAGGAGGCGGGATACAGGAGCTCGAACCACCGCCAGTAAGCCCTCCTCACCTCCTCCTTCGTCAGACCATCCCTCCCCACGCAGAGGACCTCGTAGAAGTTCGCCTCGTCATCATCATCTTCTCTGTCCTCTTCCCCGGGCGCGTCCTCTTCGTCCCCTGCCACCACGACCTCGTCCCCGCGCACTTCGCCCTCAAGCTGGGACTCCGCCTCCGCGCCCCGCGGCAGGATCGAAGCCGCCCGCCCGCCGAAGACGGACGAGGCGTCGTCGTCCCCGAACTCGTACTCCCTCCTCGAGGCGGCGAAGTGGTCGTTCAGGGAGAATCGGGAGTCCATGGGCCTGAGACCCCTGTGCGATCCGTACGGATCGTATCCCGGGCCGGGGCCACCCCCGGCTTGGGGATACCCGACCTGGGACTGTGTCCCAGGCTGGGAATTGTGAGAATACCCCTGCGGAGCTTGGGGTTGGACCTGGGCGTACCCGTATCCCGGTGCGCCGCGAGCTTCAAAAAGGCCGCTGGACCGCGTGGATCCGCGGCCTGAAACTTGTCGGCGCGCCCTGGGCGTCCTGTCCGCGTCGGTCATCTTATAACCCTTGCTCAGCCCGACTTACACGCCCTCGATGAGTGGAGCTACAATCTCTCCAAGGGAAATAGCCACAAAAAGGAAGCACAACCAAAGAAACTTCTCACAGATTGAATGATAGACTCAAGGAGAATAAACAGTTTGAGGGAAACAAATTGAAAATGAACAGGTTCGACCAAAGAATGCGCATTAACAGGCAATCTTAATGACAGGGATGCGACCCAGTTTACGTTTCACTAAGACGCTGACGGTCAATGCAGATCCGTCACCAGCTGGTATCGACCGTAAATCCACGGTCTTTCCACCATGGAGAATGAGTTCTACGAAGCCCTGAGCTTGGTAGTTACAGACAGAACCGCGAGTATATTCAGTAATCAACCGCATGCCGGAATATGCCTCCTATGTGCAATAGCCACATATATACAATGAACGTAACATCGTCTCTGGTATATCCGGTATCAAACAAAGCCCTTGCAATTCTCATCAGGGTCGCTTATAAACAACTTCATCCACGAACAAAGGCGCGGATCATCTATCCCTCGAGTACTTTGACGGCATCCGCGATGCAGGTATCGATAATACCCGCCCACCTCACCGCGTTCGCAAAGTCCTTGGCTTCGATACTCTCGAGGAGTCCGGGGAATACGGCTACAAACACAAGGTTAGCACCTCCAAACTGAGGCAAATACACAGATGAAAGGTGGGGAAAACGCGGGTCAGGATCTGAGGGGAGAAGGGGGATAAACTAAGACTCACCACCAGCATACCCCGTCCACAAACCGGGCGCAAAAACAACATGCTTAAACCATTGCCTCCCGTCCAGCCCCCCTTCGTAAAGGAACGCCCTCTCGACCCTCTTATACTTCAGGTTGATCTGCGCAAACAGAACTCCTAGCTTTATCCTCTGCCAGAACTTCCACCAGGGAATGCCCTCCTCGATACGGTCGCGGCACCACTGGGCCTCCGCATCCACCTGATCCGCCGCGGCCTTCATGAGGGATATGGAGGCCCGGAGGCCGCCGAGTTGTTCGCGGAACGCGGTCGCATCTCCCTTCTCGCCTGTGCCAGTGTTGGCGGCCCTGAGGGCGGAGATAGCCTCCTCCTCCGTGGGGAAGTCTGCAGGGAGGTACCCGCTCTGGAATGCGTTCTCGACCTTGTCCAGGTAGCCGTCCAGTTCGTCGGCGTAAACCCTAGCGTTGAACTGAATCACGGGGGTATTCGAGAGCTCAGCGACTAGGATGTTGAGAACCTGCGCCATGGCCTTGTGGTACACGAATCCTGGGTCGCCGAAGTGGCTCATCCAGTAGAAGTTGTCGTAGTTGGAGTGGTAGTGGTACGCCGAGTCACCCCCGGCCTTGAAGCCCATGTCTAGGGAGGGCACTCCCGCGTAGTCTTGGAACGCCGTGAAGTCGCTCCCACTGCCCATCGTCGAGATTTTGCCATTCCACGTGTCGGAGACCGTCTGCCCGGGGACGGTCTGGTTCGGCGAGGGGACCAGCTCCGTAACCTTACGGAGGACATTGTGCAGAAGGGGCGCGGCGGCCGCCTTGAAGTTGGGCCCGCTGACGCCGACATCGACATTCACATACGCCAGGTTCGCGTCGGTGAGCCAGGGGAGGTACTCCTCGACCCACTCCGTACTTCCCACGAGGCCGTACTCTTCGGCATCCCAGCTGGCGAAGACAATGGTGCGGATGGGCTTCCAGCCCGCGGCTAGGGCCTGCCCGAAGCTCCGGACGACCTCGTTCATGACGGCCGAACCGCTGTTGGGGTCGCCAGCGCCGCCGATGATCCAGGCGTCGCGGTGGTTGCCGACGATAACGACTTCGTTGGGGATGGTACCGTTTATGACTCCGATTACGTTCCAGATGGGGGTGATGATGTAATTTTGCTTGTTGTAGAGGTTGAGGACGAGGTTGTCCGGGCTTGGGCCGACATTATACTCGACACCCTTGTAGCCGAGACCGAGGTTTCTCTGCCACCATTCATTGAGGTCCGATGCCTTGGGGCCATGGCCGTTAAGGGACTTCAGAATGGGGAGAGCATCGCCGTAGGAGATCGGTATCGATGGAATCTGGGGAGTGCTGTCGTCAACGGGCAATCGAGGTACGCCTGGCTTCGAAGGATAGCCAGGGGTCGTCCTGCCAAAGGTTAGCTTACAGAACAGGGAAATATAGGGAGCCCAGTCACGTACGGGTCTCCTGGCCGGATGCTGAGGAACTGCGTGCTCCCTCGCTGGACACTGCTCGGGTTCCGCGCCACGCCTTCGGGGTAGGCCCTGTAGCCATTCTCTTCGGTAAACTCGCCGTCATCACCAGGGTCACTGTAGATAAGACACCCCACCATTCCTAGCTCCTGTGCCCTCTTGACCTTGAGGCCGCGGAAATTTTGCCCG